AACCTGGTGTTCGTCTTTCCTTCCTCTCTTCCTTTTTTAAAAAAAAAAAAAAAATGTTTCTATTTCAGTCTCTTTCTCCCTCTTATACTGTGTCTATCCTTTTTTTTTTCTTTGTGATTGTTTTTGCAAGTTTGTTTTAAAAGTTCACAGCAAGCGTTCTTTTCTTTTAGACCAGGAGACCCTGATCTCACCCTGACGGTAAGATCAAAAGTCTCCGTTCGCCCCCAGCCTGCAGGCTTGGGCTGGGTCCAGACGCCTCCCTGAATGCAGATGTGCGGCCGCCGGCCTCCCGGGCTATAAAGCCGCCTCCAGCGCCTTCGCGCGCGCTGGAGCGCTCGGAGTTGCCGGGTGTAGACCCCAGGAGGGGCCGAGAGACAGAAGCGGGCTGCGACTGGCGGTTTCGGGTGGGGGCGCCGCGCGCGCTTGGTGACTGAGGCCGCAAGAGGCCGAAACTGCGGCCCCTCCAGGCCGGGGAGATGCGGCCGTAGGGCGTGAAACGCTTCTTGCGAGCGAGGAAACGGTGAGTTAGCGGACGCCGCCGGTGGCCTCACCGTTCTGGTCACCGCGCAGGGCGCCTCTAGTCAGGAGGAGGGTCGGCGCGGCACGAGGTCAGCTCCCGCCGGTCCCGGGCTCACCTTGGAAGCGCGGAGCGCCCACTTAGGCACTCCAGTTGCGATGTGCGCACAGCTCTGGGCACAGTTGGCGGAAAACGGGGAGTCCGCCCGGGTCGTGCTTCCCTCCTCCTTTCCTTCCCCTCGCAGTTTTCCCAACCTCTGTTCTCTCCACCCCTCCCCCTGCGGCCCAGGGCCTGAGCTCGAATCTCTGCTTCGCCTGCCGCCGCCGCTCGAGCGCTGCCTGGCCCTCCCCCGCTCAGGCGCCTCGCGCTGTGCGATCCGCCCTAACATCTGTCCGTCCAACCATTGGCGCATCCATCAGTGTCAGTGGGCTGCACATTGCAGCGACAGCCCGTCACGCACAACACGGGCTATGCGGAGTGCACACAGGCACCGCACCGCCTCGTCGGGACACGCAAACAAGATTCCTGCCCGGCTTGGCACGATCAGGATTTCTGATCTCTACTGTGTTCTTTTAGCCACACGCAACCCCACTCCCCTTAATATTGGAGTCCCGAAGTGTGCATAGTTTTGCAGGCCATTCTATGGAAGGGACAGATGAAGACAGGCAGCGTCGACGAGGTCCTTACACTCCACTAGGGTCTGGCTTTTTTTCTGTGGGATGGGTGTGGCTGGGAAAGAATGAAGGGAGGCTTCCCAAACCTGCACCAAGCCCAGTGTAGACCTGGAAGCCACCTGAATGTAAGTGCTTAACTCCGCTTTACCTGGGCCAAGCCTGGGTGGTCGATTTCTCCAAGTAGGTCTTAGTTAGGAGGTTTGCCGCTGAAACTTTGCGAGGCTGCCTGGCCGCTGCGTAACAGTGCCTGAACGGGAAGAGCAAAAGGAGGAAAGAAAACGTGGAACCCGTTGAGAACTAAGACCTCGATGTAGGCAGAAATGGTGTTTGAGTGGCCATAAGTCTGTAATTCACACATAATTTACCGAGGGAAAAAGGGCAGGGCCATATGCTTGAGAAACCAGAGCTTTACGCGAAGCGTCCCAGGCGCCTGTTGGTCCAAGAGTGTTGTGGTTGCATGTTGTCCTAGCTTTTGTCTCTTGTCCCGCCTCCCCGCCCTCCTGCCCCACTGTCCAAAGGATAAACATCTGCACCTTTGTCCTAGATCAGTCCTGTCTGGTCAAAGGGCCTTTCCTGTTCTCCCCACGAAGAACTTCAGAGGAAAGGTGTGCTAGGGACCTACTTCTCCAACGTCTGCCGGGCGGCTGTCCCCCGCGTTTGTCTATTTTTACTGCAAATATTTCTGTCCAGGCGCGTGGTGAGTTTTGCCCTTAGAGTCGACTACGCACGTGGGTTAAAAACCTGCGCGGCTGTTCATTCAGCGATTCGAGAATTAGGAGGGGGAAAGGTGCTGCTTTCAGGCAAGAGCTGAGGTGTGCTCGGATCCTGGGGAGGCCACAGGCTTGCGCAGCGCGCTGGCTGAGTCTTTCCTGTGGGAAGGAGAGATCGCGTTCTAGGGTGGCGGCTATGCACACCACATCCAGTTGTCCAACTGTTTTCATGGTAGCCTAGAGGGCGGAAAAGCCCATCCCTTAAACTAGCAATCTGCAGGAGATACACTGTTTAGAAATAATTTTTATCCCATTCACCAGAGAGTTGCAGATAATCTTTGAAAAAGCAACAACAGGCTTTGGCCCCGTGTAAATACTTGGTAACTTTTATTCGTGTAAATACCTGGTAACTTTTATTCGTGTAAGTGATGCTGAAAAGTAAACCCCTAGGCCAATGGGATGCTTCCACTTCAGGGAGGTGTCCTATTTCTGGGAAAACATTGTTAAACCCCTAAAATTAGAAGAAAAAAATGGGCAGGAGGGACAATGGAATGATTAACAGAAATACCCAAAGGCAAATCCCATAGGAGAAACAGGGGGTCCCATTGCAACCAGGTGGCTCACCAGCTGAGTAGTCACATTTATGAACCCAAAACATCTAAAAGGGTCTTGAAGGCAGTCCTGACTCTGAGGTTGTACCTCAGGCCCAAAGGAACCCCACTTCTCTTCAGAGGGGTGCTGAGCCATATTCTGCAGAAATGCATCTAAACAGCTTCTGCAGGCCAGAGATTAGAAATCCTACTTGAACTTTCCGAATTCAATGTGCTCTGGTCCCCTGTCCCTGAACCTACCTGCACCCTCAGTAAGTGCAGCTTTTGGGGGTAGGAGGTCCATTCCACCCCCAGACCTTGCTTAATCCTAGTTGGAGCTCCACCTGGAGGAGTTCCAAAATAAAAGCCAAACTCAGGTATGGCTTGAAACAGGTGTGTGGTGGAAGGGCAGGGTCCTGGCCAGAACCAGCCAGGCCAAAGTTACTAAGTCCCTTCTGGGAAGGAACAGTCAGGCCACCTCCCAAAGACAGCTGAGATTTTGCTCAGTGTGGTGATTGTGGGCACTGGGTAACAGCCCTCCTGACAGGAGAAAGGCAAAGGTGTATCCATCTGCATCTGGGGTGGCCGCTGAGGAAAAAGACTTTGGGCAAGAAGGAGTCCTTGTCTTTGAAGCTGCCATTGCAGGGCAGAGCCCAGGTGGGTAGGCTCTGAACCTGTGTACCCAGGGCCTAAGCCCTAACTTGTAGAGGGGCTGCTGTTGTCCCTGGAGAGGATTAGATCACCTGGAGGGACAGAGCATGCTGGGTAGTACACACAGGAGCCTGTGCCTCTTTTCAAAGTGCAGGGATATCTGGCCAAATGTGGGCCTTTGGGAAGCCAAGACTGGGTGACCAGGGGAGGCATCCCCAGGTGCCTTACTCCTGCCTGCACTGGCCTCTGTAACTCTGGTGCACCGGTCTGTCCCCTTCCTCATTCATCCCCATGCAGAAGTCTAAGGTAGGCAAGGGTAAAGAAGTGCCCTGGCACCTTGAATTGGGCCCAACCTCAGCCCTTGTCAGAGTGCAAAGGATTTGGACCCTGGGGCCAGGCCCTACATGGGTGTTAAATTGTTTGCTAAAAGTGCATTTTCACAGCAGTGAAGTTGTTTCTCTTTTTCCTGTAGCTTTGTTTGAAGGAACCAGATGTTTTGTCTGTAAATTCTCCCAAGAACTTTTACAGTTTTGATGTGAAATAAACCTTCGAAAATCCGGAGCGGCATATTGATGCCACTCCCGTGGAGCCTCAGAACGCCTGCATATGACCTGGAGTGGGGGTGGGGGAGCAATCTAGGAAGAAAAGTAGGGGGCTTCTTTTGGCCCAAGGTCAAACATAGGTTTTAGGAATGTAAAGCACCTCTCCCACATCCAACAAATGAGTGCGGAACACAAAAACACTCCCCACCCTCCCCATCTTGGTCAGAGTTTTCTACTTTATAAATGTCTTGTGGCTTGGGGCACAGAGGCTGAGACCAACTTTGACCACTGAGCCTGCTGCACACCAGCCGTTTTCCACCCGAACCACCCGACTCAGAGGCAAAAGGACCTTCGTTCTTCTGGGGGGGAGCCTTGATGCCAGATGTCCCCAGGGTGGAGGCAGCAGAGTGCAAGCGGGGACTGATGCAGCCTTGAACTTCTCAGCGTGCCTGGAGCGGGAGAACTTTGTATGGAAGTTGGTACAGTCTCCCAGGAAGTCAGAGCCCCAAGAATCGCCTCTCCACTGCTTCATTTTCTGCAGTTCAGAATTTCCAGGCAGTTATATAAACATTTTTAAAGGCGTGTATGCACTCCCCAGCGCGCACAAATACACAATCTTGGGCACGCGTGTGTGTGCACGTGTGCGCGTGCACACACACACACACACCTACACAACTAGCAGACAGACGGGAGGAAGAGAATTAAGATTATGGGTGAGGAAGGGTTCTTAGTCAATGCCCACCCTCTAGTTGGGTGATTCCCAGCGGCCACTTTCTCCGGTTTCCCTCGACGGGGGGGCTGGAGATTTTCATCTTCTCTGTCTCCACTTTCCTGTGCAGTCATTTGCACATCTTCCAACTACCTCCCCTTTCTTAGGAATTCTCTTTCGTTCAGTCATTTACAGAACTTCCCAAAACTTTTTTTGAAGACAGAAGATTAAATCAAGAAATCTAAGTCTTTGAATATTGGTTCAAGGGGCACAGATGAACGTTAAACCCAGTTTGAAAGGCGCAATTACTGGCAAAACGCCTTTCATCAAATCCTATGTAGACTTGGGTTGCACTGGGAATTCCCGAATACCTCGCTATAGGGTGTCGCGGTCCGCCCCCTCCCCCGGCTCCACCCCTAGTGAAATGGATTTTTGGAAACCATTTTGGCAGAGGTAAAAAACAAACCAACCAAAATAACTATACTAGAGATAGCTGCAGCCGCAGTGAGGCTTACCCCTGGCGGGGAGCGAGCAACTCTGCTAGTTCGAACACCGCGGTGGCCACCTTATCCCCGCGCGGTTTTCCTGAGCTGCCTGGCGCCTGCGGGTATCTGAATCAGAGCGTGAGCAGCCGGATGCTGGTCTGAACCCCGGCTCTTCGAATGCAGGAATCCTGAAAGAGAACCCAGAAATCAAACCACCGGGTCTTCGGAGACCAGACTGCCCAGCTTCGAGCGCCTGGTGACCTCGTTAACCGCCCAGGGAATTTACAAGAGCAGGAAGAATCTCGTTTCCTTTTTCTTTTTTCCGTCTTACACATTATGGCTTGTGTCTGTCCCTAAATTTCTTTTAAACGAGGAAGACCAAGCCTAACTCTCAGTAAGGCGACTTGGAAAGAAAGGGACAGCGCCTCATTCTTTCCCATTTGAATTTCTTGAAACTTGATGAATATCACTATTTCGACCAGAGCCAGGGTTGTTTGGGACAAGATAGAAAAAAAAGGGTAGATTACACGGGGCATGCAGATAGTCTCGCTGATCTCCGGGCTTTGATAACTCTAAGATTTCTTCCTTCCAGGCAGATTTCTTCCTTCTGAGCCCTGAATTCTGCGTTTGCTCATCTTCCTG